TTCCCCCGGAGCCAGTTTTAGGATGAAGCAAGTGCACAGCGGTACTGAACACCTAAGGGAGTAACATGTGTCCACCAACATTTCTGTATGGCTCCGGGGTCAGGACTAGACGTGGTGACATTCAAGCTGATCATGTCGTATTTTTCCCCCTTCGGTACTTGCAAAAGCACAGAGACATGGGACCTTAGTTGTGTTGGAAAGAATGATCTAGCTTGGTTCATTAGTGAGGCGCGTACTCGGAACCTATATGGTATTAGCGAAACAAGGGCACAGCGATACTAGACACCTAAAGGAGTACCATGTGTAAAGGGAACTTGCATAGGTTCCGAAAAGTTAGCGCTCACTTGGGGTTCCCCCTTGGAGGATCAGGCTTGAGAGGGCTAGGGCAACACGAAAGGCTTAAATAGTGTAAGGGTGAAGTAGGGAGGAGGTGGGGACAAGGGGGTATCCCCCTGAATCCCCCTATGCTTGGTTTCCCCCGTTCACGAGCTGCTCAGAAGGCGGCGTTGCTGGAGCTCAGTCGTCGAGGAGGGCAGCGCGCTGCCGTCGTCGACGATGGCTGGTCATGCTTTCCCCGTCTTCACTGGCAACTGCCACGGTCGGGCTGCGTGGTACTTCCCCGGGGGCGTTGCCTAGTCCATGGTGGCGATCATGTAGCCACCATTCCCCCTGTGCTGGTGGGGACTGAGCCGTGTCCAGCGGTGCAGGTGGCAGCGTCTCCCCCGCGGCTGGAAACATTAACTCTTCCACCTCGTCAAGGGCACGGAGGAGTGCTGCATGCACTGCGTTGAGTTCTTCTGAGCTTCCCCCGGCAAGGTGGTTTCGAAGGTCTTGCAGTTCCAGTATCATCCCCCGCGCGCGTCGCTGCCGTCTTTCTCGGGCCAGATTGGAGGTCAAAATCCCCCGCGTGGCAGCCATGACGTCTGCAGGGTGTGCCACAGCCTCGCCTTTTCGGACCGCTTCCAAGAACATCACGGTTTCGGCAAGTTGGATCCAGTGCTCTGGACGGTCCTCTGTCTGGATTCCTTTGAGTGCCAGGCCAAGGTTTCGGACTGCTCGTCCGATGGCTTCCCCCGGAGGCAGGGTCGTGGAAGAGGCAGAGGAAGACGAGGAAGTTCCCCGAGCTTGTGCTACCATGTCATTCAACCAGGTGATGATCATGTCCACGTCATGCTGGATGTCGTAGTATGATATATATTGGTGCGACTCCTCGGCAGAGGCCAACCTTTTTTGAGCTTTGGTAAGTAGTCGTTGGAGAGCTTGTGCGGCTGGATCGGTGTGTTCCGTGTCGAATTTCTGCCGCTTCATGGGCTTCTCCCCCGTTGTGGGTGCTCTGGCTGCATCTTGTTGTTCGATCTCGAGGTGCGAAAGTAGTTGTTGTTCTGTTTGGCTATCCGCGAGGAGGTCGCTGAGGGCGCACTGTGCAAGGGTAGCTATGGTGCTTCCCCCGGGCAATTGGGCTGCCGCTTGGTATATGCGAAGGAGGGCTGTTTCCACCCGGTCTGTAGTTGTGCTCTCTTGGGGGGGGTGGTGGTGTGGGCTCACAGGTGGCGGCCCATCTGTGGAGTTGTCAAGTTGGGTGTGAGTCGGGCGCGTGGCTCGGGGGTCTGCTGGGGCACTTTGTTGTTGGAGGGGGTTGGGCGGCGACGTTTGCACGAGGCTGTTGGGGTCTTCGTCGTGTGGTTCGCCATGGGTTGCTCCCTGGCTTATTGTGGTTTTTGTGTGTGTTGTTGTCTGGTGTGTGTGGCTGGCCGAGGTAGTGGTGGCGCTGGTCGTGGTTGGCCTTTGTGGTGGTGTTGGTGGCGTGCCGGTCTTGCCGATTTGTCTGCCGTCCCGGACGTGTGCGAAGGGGTCTGGCGCTGTGGGTGTTACGTTGTGATTGGGGACGGCTGGGGTGGATGTGGCGTTGCGCTGCTGGCTTTCGCCTCGCGGGCCGCGCTGTCGTTGGCTGCGTCGAAGGGGCCGGTCGTCCAAAAGAGGGCGTCGCTGGCTGTGCTGCGTTGTGTGAGCTGGCGTGGCGGTCTGTGCCGCCTGTGTCTGTGGTGTTGTTTGCGTGGGTGTGGCGCGGGAGGTGTGTTCGTTGGTGTGGTGGTCGGCTGTCTCGTTGAATCGGACATGTTTGTCCGGTTTGCTGCTGCGTGGGGTATTGAGACGTTGGTGGCTTGGGGTGCTCGTGGGCTTAGTGGAGCTGTCGTTGTGGCTTGCTTCTGCGGGTTGTGGTGTGTCCGGGGTGGTCCGGGCTTGGCGCGCTGCAGAGTTTACGAGTGCCTCGACTGTTAGGGCCCAGCCGCGGGGGGTGTTGTGGATACGGAATTTATCCCCCTCTGCCAGGAGGATGCTGTTTGGTTCAAACTCGTCGAGGGCGGGGACACTGATTACGATCAGGAGCCAAGTGTTGGGGGGGCCCCATGGGGGCGTATCGGGCTCTGCTCCGCCGGGTAAAGATGGGGGCTCGGTCGAGGGGGCCAGCTTGGCCACCCCTTAGTACGCGCAATGGTGGCAGGCCGCCGGAGCTGCTGCTGCTTCTGGGTGGTGTTGAGGGATTGGTGGCGTGGATGTGGACCTCCCAGCAGCCATGGGTGAGGCGGGTGAAGGTAGCGCTGGTTCCCCCGGATGTGGGCAGTGGTGGTGGTGTGTCTTCCCGGGAATTCCCCCTGAAACGTTCCTTCCTGTGCCTCATACCACTCGTGTTGGTTTCGAAGCTCGTCTTCAGTGAAGATGCTTGTGGGGTGTGAGGGAGAGGTGGGTGGCTGTGAAGCTGTGGCAGTGTCGTCCTCGTGTGGGTTGTGGCGTTGGTTGTGGCGGTCGCGTGCTTCGTTGTCTGCTTTGCTGCCAGTCTGTGGGGCGGGGTCTGTGGTTGCGGTTGCGGCTGCGGCTCTCTCGGCAAGGATTCCCCATCCGGGGCCGTGCTGTGGTTGGGGGCCCGGGCGCCGGGGGACGCTTCCCCCGGATCGTGTTCGCCACTTGTAATTGTGTTTGCCCTGCTTGTTGCCCACTCTCTGGGATCCGTGTCCCGCGCTACGAGGTTTGGCTTTGGGGGTGATTCCCCCCCAGCCTGGTCGCTCCCACGGTGGTCGTTGTTCGGTGGGTGTGCTGTCGGGATTATCGGAGGTGTCACTGGACTCATCCGGTGAGCTGGATGGTGGTTTCTGGTTCGCACTTTGGTTGGTTGTCGTCCCCCGCGAGGACACTTGGTGTTGTAGGGGTGAAGGTTGGTGGGGGTTGGGAGCCAAAGCTTTTGGGAGGTTGCGTTTGTGGCTGGAGTGGGTCGAGTGGTGGTGGCGGTTGGCTGCTTGTAAGGTTGACGGGCGCGGAGGCTTGGTCTGGTTGTGGGTGTTGAGTGGGCGGTGTGGGAGGGGGTGCGCAGACCCGGTCCAGGTAAGTTTGTGGAAGGCGGCCACTGGCAATCCAGTGCATGTATTCGTGCTGGTGCATCAATGGAAGTGGGCCGGTGCCAGGCGGAGGTAGCCAGTTGGGCGGTTGGCTGGTGGGGGCTGTCGTGTCTGCTGCTGTGGTTGGTGGTGTGGCTTGATTGGTGGTGTCATGGCTCGTGTCTTCCTTGTTCCACGGGTCGGTGTCCCAGTCGTAGTGGGGTCTTCGGTGGGTGGTTGGCAGGGGGGCGAGCCGTGTGGGTTTGCGGGGGGGGTCTGTGTCAGTGGGCTGGTTGACTGTTGGGGTTTGTGGTGGCGTCTGGTCGCCGATCTGGTAGGCAGGCGGCGGGAAGTAGGGGGGTTCCCCCCCTGCATGCATGGAATAACCACCCCAAGCCAAGAGGAGGGTTGCATGGGTGGCCGCCCATGTGAGCTGCGTCGGTGGCTGTTGCTGTGCCCATGGTTGGCTTTGCCAGGGGAGGGTCGCCTGGTTGGTCGAGCTGGCTTGAATGGGGTGCTCGTCTGTGTTGGGGGGGTGTGGGGGGAGGGGAGGAGGGGGGGGAAGGGGGGGAAGGTGGGGGGGTCCCACGATTGTAGGGGGGCCACTACTAGGAGTACAAAAAGGAGTCGAGTGCTCAGCACGCTTGACTCACGTGGTCTGCTTGCTTGTTCGCTGGTGATCGGAAGGCTTGTGCCGAGGATCGCTAAGTATGTATATGCATGTGTTGATGTACAGTGTGAAGTGTTTGAGCATTGAGTGCAGCACGGTCATGAATCGTAACAAGAACGACTGAGTGCTCAAGGCAAGAACTTGCACTGTCACAGCAAGGCTAACTCCCCCGCGGCTCCTCTCGCTGCTGTCTGCAGTTCACTTGTGGCTTCAGGGGAGCGCTGCCCAAGGTTATGTGCGAAGTTGTATGCTTGTGCCAAGGAAAAGGTAGGCTGGTGGCTGCCGGTGTAGTTGCTTTTCTGCTTTTGCTTTGCTCCGGTCTGTTGGCGCTTGGTTCTGGTTTTGGCTGCTGCGGGCTTCTTTGGTCTGGGTTTGTCCAGTACAGTCTGCAAGAACTGCTGGTCGTGGTGTTGAGAAGAGTTAGGGGCAATGTTTTGGAGACTTGCTTGCTTGCCCGTGCTCCACGGCACGTCGTAGCGGTCAATGAAGGTACTCTCAAGGTCGGCCCAGGCCTGCCTATCAAGTGCGGTGCGGGCCCACTCTTTCCCCGCTGTATCGCTGAGCTAGCGGTCTATGTCCATGAACGCGTTGAAGCGCTGAGCGTGTTGTATGTTGTTCCCCCGGTCCTTCTGCTCTTGCCACCATCGGAGGCTGCGCCATCGGAAGATGTCTCCCCCGATTGGGTCGCCACGGACGATGTGTCCGACTGCTCCCCATATCTGGGAAAGAACGAAGGAGGACCCCTTTCCCCCTCTGTGGAAAGAGCAAGTCTGGTCCTGCGGAGGCTCCGCTTATTCCAGGTGGCCCACTCCTCCGTGGGCTGTCGCTTCAACCCCAGCATTGTGCGTATCTGTGCAATTTGCACGGAATTCACTGCACGCAGTAAGCTGGCGTGGCAAGGCCACGTTTGGCAGGCCCAAAGGGCGCTTTGGCGTACCAAAATGACATGGAGCTTGAGCTTATCCTTGAGGCTCGCCCGGGGAGGTGAAGGCTTCACGGTGGCTCCAGAAGGCTTTGCGGGCGCGGCTCTGCATTTCCGCGACCAGCATTGGTGTTCCCCCTTGAAAGGAGAGGGGACTTCCCAACACATGAAAGATGTGTTTGGGTCCATTTGTGAGGACTGTCTCTCCTGCCACCACAAACTTGACGGGGTTGCCCCCGTTCTGGATGATGTCAGTCTTACCAGGGTGTAGGTGGAGGCCTCGTTTGGGAAGTCTTTCGCTGAGCTCATCAAGCATTCTCTGGAAGCGCTTTCTGTCGATGGACCAGATGAAGTTGTCGTCCATATAACTCCCCCCGTCCGCTGGTGGAGGGTTGCCCGTGCGGGGTTTAGCCACCCCGGCCACACTGATGGCCGCTGCGAGGTCCTCTACGACGGATCCAAAAGCAACGGGGCTTTCGGGCGCTCTGCTCGGTGGGGATATTTTCCCCAGCAACGTGGATGAGGATTTGCGGGGCACGTAGGAGGGAGACCCATGCCCGGGCTTCCCATGGCTTGTGGGCATCTTCCCCCACTCGTCTGCACACGTGATCTGCTAGGCTTTCTTGAAATATAGAGTCGAATGCTTTTCTTATGTCGAGCTTCGCGATGTAGAGCTCGAGGCCCCAATCGTGGGCAAGGCGCGCGAGGCGCCGGAGGATCATGATCAGCTCGATGCCTTGCCTCCCCCGCCGGCACCACTGCAGCTTGGCGGGGGTCTGAACTGCGTCCCCCGCGCGTTGCAGGAGGAGCTGGCCAAAGGACTTCAGCAGGACCGACGATAACGTTATGGGGCGGGTCTCCCCCCATGTAAGCGGTTGTGGAACTTTTGCGAGTAGGATTGTAGCCCCCGCCTCGACGTTTTCATGAATGCGACATGTGTAGAACATATCGTTAAACAGCTCCAGAAGGCGATTCCCCCAGATCGGGCGGGGCTGTATGGCTTTAGGGGCCTCGTGGGAGACCATATCTGGCCCGCACGACTTTCCATTCTTCCACTTGACTCTCACAGCTTCGAGTTCCTCCATGACGAACGGCCTCCATGGCGTAGCCTTGCAGAGTCAGGCTAATCGCCCGAGGAGGTGGTGAATCGTCGAGGTCACGAGGGATCTATGCTGTCGGAAGAAAATCCCCTCGAAGTGCTGACGCAACTTTTCTTCCAGTTCTCATCGTCGGTGAGTGAGAGCTCCCACTCATGGTTCCTGCTTTTTTCCACCAGCGCCCTTTTTGTAGCCCAGTCATGCTCTGCCACCAGCTTCATGGCATTCTTCTGCCATTGTCGGTGCTCAGCGAGATGCATCTTTCGGCATTGCTTCCATAGCGCGAGACTGCGGAGCTTCTTGAGTTCGGCACTCTCCCTAAAGGGCTTGCGACTCTTGCCAGGCTTGGTGATGGAGGCCGCCAGATTCTGCAGGAGTGTCACGGGGTCTCCTCCCCCGCTGCTGGCTGATGCTTCGAGGGCCTCGATTCGAGGGCCTGTTGTACTCTTGCTGCGGGAAGAAGTTGACGGCTCGTCCATGGCGGGGCCTGTCTATGCTTAGCAGCTGGCAGCTGTAACTGGGTGAGCGGCACAACCGCTGGCTCGTGGTCTGATGTGGCAATGTCTCTCTGACAAAGCACTTCCCCTGGATCACAAAGGAGACGTTTCACAAGCACATAATCAAGTCGCCTGGGTTCAAGCTGGGTGTTGTAGGGAAAGTGACTGGGCTTGTGTAGAGCTTGTTGGGGAAGGTGCAGTTGCTGTTCTTCGAACCAGTGAAGGAGGAGCTCCCCCCTGGCTGTGTCGGCTTTGATTTGTTTGTTCTGGTGCGCACCTTGGAATGTCTCGTTTGCATCGATCCCTACGACCGTCTTTGTGGTTGTATGTATGTGAGGCTGCAGCTGCTGTAGTATCTGTTCGGTTGTGGACAATGTGGCATGGTGTGGGATATGGATAGCAAGGGCTCCAACTCTGAAAGTATCTGAGGACAAAGCGCATGAGATGGCACACGGCAATATCTTTCCCCGAGTATGCTGCAAATTGGAGGTGTGCACTACGGCATTCCCCCGCCAGTCCTCGGTACCTTTGCCGAAGATGATCTGCAACTCCTCCAGCTCTGAGTGATACTTCCCCGGCTCGCAAATGACTTCCTGTACGAGGACGACCAGGGATTCAGTGAAAGGCTGAATTCCGCCTCGCCTGTGAGCGCAAGGATGACCTCCAGTGTTTTAACAGAGGTGAGTCCCCCTACGTTCCAGCTCAGCACCTGCACGCGTGCCGGTGGCACAGAGGCTGCCTTTTGTGCAGCCACTCCTTTCCCCGTCATTCATGAGAAGGCCTTACGGAGCTCTTGCCAGCGGGCTGACAACGAGTCCTCCGATCCCCCGATTTGTCTGGCTTTCTCAACTGTGGCTCCATCGGGTGCCGAGGTGACTCCAGATGCGACCTTGGTGGTGTTGTACCACACGTTGGCGGTACCAAACTCAACCTCAATTCTGGTGGGGTCTCCCCCTTCTTCGATGATGAGGCGCTTGACCTTCCCAGCTATTTGGGCCCGTCTGCGGCGCTCGGGGCTCTGGCTCATGGTCGCAAAGAGGTATCGGTTTCCCCCTTCTGGTCGTTGCCCGGTGACCACGTGTGCGTCCTGCACGGTTTTGAGGAGGCTCTGTACTCGGGATCGGTGCTGTTCATCTGTCTCGCCAGCCTTCTTGATGAGGGGAACGATTGCAAATCCCCTACGGAGTCCAGGGACAAAGGCTTGGGAGACGTCGAGGTCTGCGTTGAGGTCCTTAAGGTGTTTGCAGACAAGGCGCAGGGTCTCTTCATGGTGTTGATCTGCATCCCAGCCCCCGATTATGAGTGCTGGTTTCTGTGTCCCCCGGTCTGAGTCTGATGTTCTCGTGCTCGACATGGAGAACTCGGCTTTGGCGAACTTGCCTTCGAGGAGTTCGAGGCGTTGTGGAACTGATTCTTGCTTCTCCCCCACCGAGCGCACACTCCTCTCCATAGCACAGTGCCTATCAGTCATGGCCTGCATGAGCTGCGTTGTGTGGGTGACGTGCACTTCCATCGTTTGCTCCACCTGCGTAACTCGGGTGGAGAGGCCTTCCATTTCCCCGCGCACTTGGGAGACGATCTCTTCACGGTTCTCCTTCAGGGCTTCGAGGAGTGAGTTGAGCGTAAGGGGGCGCTCGTCTTCTTCTCCCAGTGCTTGCCGCTTCCTTCCCCCTGCTGGTGGGGGTTCGCTATTCATAGGTGAAGATGGCGATCTCGTTGTCCCGGCCATTTGCTCAGTCAGGTACGCGATGGCGTCCTTCACCCAGCGTTGGGCCCCTCGAACTGCGTGAAGTCGGAGTCTAACCGCCCACGTAGGATCGCCGATCCCCCGCAAGTAGTGTGTTGTGGATGTCCCTAAGCTTCTGCGCAAGGACACCGTACGGGAACCTTCGCTACGTACTCCCCCGGCCGAGCGAGGTCGATGAAGGCGCGTAGTAGAACGATCCCCCCGATTTGCTCGTATGGCTGCGTCCCTTCGACAACTCTCTCTCACTCAGCGCGGCCGCGTTGCTCCCCCTTTTTGCAAGGACCACTCTCTCTCGGTTTTGTAACTGCGGGGCTGGGGGCTCGAACCACTCGTGGCTTGAGCCAAAATGGCT